TTATATAGCCGTATAGTTTGGTGGCTGTTGCAGTTAAGGTCATTCTGCTGTCTCTTCCCAGGTTTGCACTCACTTCCATATCATTCCACCCCCTTCTCTTCTGGTGATGTGCTGTTTCTTCAGCAGGTGTCCTCTGCACTTCTGGATTCAGTTAGAAAACAAAAAACTAGCCATTTTGGCAGCATTCTATTGAGAAGTAAAAATGAAAGTCATTTCTGTTTGCTTTCTTGGTATGTGTGGGAACTCTTGAAGTTGCCAGGCAGGCTGGATCTCTGAGCTTCATCTTTTAAGACAGGCCTCTAATCTATGATGCTCCTTTATTAGCCTCTGCTGTAGCTACAGTCAGGCTCTGCAGGTGGGTTTTTGGTTTGTTTTTGGGCATGGTCTCACTGTGTAGCTCTGGCTGTTCTGGAACTCACTACATAGACCAAGCTGTACTCCAATTCGCAGTTAAAGGCATGTGCCAACATGCCCAGCTTCCTTCCTTCTTTATATGGATTCCAGGGATGGACCTCAGGTTGCCAGACTTGCACAGTGAGTACCTGTGAGCCACCTCACCAGCCCTCCATTCAGGCTTCATGTTCACTTTGCCCACTAAGACTGGGTCTTGCTAATATAGCTCAGGTTGCCTTTGAACTTAGGATCATACTGCCTCTGCTTCTCCAGAGCTTGGATAATACACTCTATCGACTCAGGTTTTCTGGATGAGAAAAAGGCTGCTATGATAGGGTGACTTACAGGGGTCTACAGAAGCCCAGAGCTCATAGAATCCCAGTCCTTTGATGCCCCAGCTGTAAAGTAACTTCTCAGGATTTCTTTGTGAGGGTTCCCATGGCTGTATTGTGGGACAGATGGGAAGGTCACTGTCCACATTAGACGAGCACTCTCCAGCTCTTCTCTGCTCACTCTTGCACTCTTAGGGAGACCTTGAGCACCTTAAATGCCGCAGCAGGGCAGAGATGGGGACCAAGGCTGCACCTCACCCAGGGGCTGTGCTGAGGCAAGACTAGTGTTCCCAACAGCCCAGGCACTTCCTCTTCCCTCCTTAGAGCTCAGGGCAGTGTTCATACGGACAAACAGGTGGGCTTTCTAGCAGAGCAGGAATGCCAGGAACTGGGGGCCATCAGAGAGCCCTGGGTAGGGTTGGTCCTGTGGGCTACTGTCTAAATCCTTTTTTGTTTGTTTTTTGAGACAGGGTTTCTCTGTGTAGCCCTGGCTGTCTTGGAACTCACTGTAGAACAGGTTGGCCTCGAACTCACAAGAGATCTGACTGCATCTGCCTCTCAAGTGCTGGGATTAAAGGTCTATGCCTCCATGCCTGGTGCCACTGTCTAAATTTTTAATCTGCATTTGGGGTATGTGGACATTTATTATATTATCTTCAATAGTTTCTGATTTGCCTGAAATGCTTTATAAAAGAAAGCACCAACCACCTTCTTTCCCAAAGTTTACCTCATGAATTCATTCTCCAACTCAGTCCAGTGCAGGCAGATTCCAAGCTTTTTTGTTGTTTCCCTGTTAATGTGGCAGGTTTGGGCATTGAAGAAGACGTGCCTGTGTGATTCCCCACTTTGCCCAACTTGAGGTGACACACTGACCTCTGGACTCTTCAGATAGGAAGTACTCTGCAGGATCAATATTTTGTTTATCTTTCGTTTCTGTATTTCAGCCTGTCCTTGGCGGTATTGATCTTTCCATTAGCTGTCTGGAGTAACTTGCTAATGGGTGGCTGGAAGCAAATCATCAAGAATATGGACGAGGTGTGTCCATAATCCCAGCATTGGGGGTGAGGCAGGAGTATGCTGATTCTGAAGCCAGAATGAATAATCTAGTAAGGCCTTGTCTCAGAGAACCCTAAAATATCTTTAAGAGTGCATATTACTCTTCTTGAAAAGGACTGAGGTTGATTCCTAGTGTTCATGCTGGACAGCTTACAACTGTTTGTAATCCCAACTCTAAAGGATCCAGCACCCTCCTCTGGCCTCCACAGATAATGCAGCCAGGAGCACATACACCCACACTGGCACATAGCACACATACAGAATTAAAAATAAAATAAATCTTAAAAGTCTGTAACTCCAGGAAATAGAAGAAGCTTATACCAAAGCTAAAAGTAGGCATCAGGCACCACGCACTGCTTAGTTATAGACTGCACATAGTGTGTCCAGATCAACCTGGGCATGTCTCAGACAAACAACTGTGTGTTCTACAAGGCCTATCTATGGTCATGAATCCCTAGGACTGGATGGCGTGACCTGAGTGGGCTTCAGGCCCACATGGGAGAGTGGGTCCCTTCTTACAGGGTTTCAAGGGAGAAGGTCACATGCCATATGGTTGATGAGTAGTCAGTAGTACCTGCTAGCCCTCAGGGCCCAAAGGGAAGGGAGGGAGGGAGCCTTGCGGATGTGTGTTGAGGTTGGGGAGTGGGAGAAGGGGTTTTGTGTCTGTTCACAGGAACCTGCACACAGAAGCAGCTAGGCAGCAGCAGAGTGGTTCTTGCCCACGAGCATGGCCTGAGCAGCCTCTTGTCTGGAACCCAACTGCTGGTTGCTGATCATGCAGCAGCCCTTCTGCAGGGCAACTGCCAATTCTAAGAACAGATTTGAACAGAGGGAAGAGAAAGTCTACAGAAGGTCACTTCCAAATGCTATGCACACACTCTCACAGTCAGGAACCCTCATGCCTTTGTGCCCCTGCCATAAAGTCATCTTTTCTTTGGAGCATATTGTTTTCTATTTTTCTGGGAAGCATTTTCTCCCTGTGAGACTCTGTTCTTTGGACTCTAGAATTTCACCCCATACTTAATACAGCATGAAGTTTAACAGATTTCGTTCTCCAAGGAATAAAAGCAGAAACGAACTGTGCCCTCTACACACACAAACACACGTGTTATCTTGTGATGGGAATTTTAATTGAATTGTTTTTGTTTAACTGTTGTATGTGCATGGTCAGAGGACAGCTTTGTGGCTCAGCGCTCGCTCTCCTTCCATCTTGTCCCCCAGATCCACCTGCCTCTGCCTCCCTGAGTGCTGGGATTACAGGTGTCACCACCACACCCAGCTTTCTCCTATTTTAACATGGTTCCATAGTCTAACTCATGTTTCCAGGCTTGTGTGGCGGGTGCTTTTTACCTGCTGAGCCAGCTCACAAGATGGCTGTTGTTTGTTTTTTTGAGACAGGGTCTTGCTATGTATCCCAGGCTGGCCTCAATCATCATCCTGCTTCAGCCTCCAGTGCTGAGGTTACAGGTGCGCAACACCTTGCTTGGCTTAAGGGAACCCCTGTTTGTTTGTTTTTTTTTTTTTTTTCTTTGGTTTTTCAAGGCAGGGTTTCTCTGTGTAGCCCTGGATGTCCTGGAACCTGTTTTGTAGATCAGGCTAGCCTCAAACTCAGAGATCCGCCTGTCTCTGCCTCCTGAATGCTGGGATTAAAGGCATTTACCACCACTGCCCAGCTAAGTAACCTTTTCTATTTGTGAGCTATATCAGGTATTTGTTCAAGTGGCCATGATGTAAATGTGATGCTAGTGGGTATTTTGGGTAAGTCCATCTACTCTACTGGACTGAAAAATCTCTAAGGAGAGATTGATGTTTGAGCTCTGTTCGGAGCTGAGCACTTTGCAGGCAACTGCAGCTTGGGGAAAACAATGAGGTGTGTGTGCGTGTGTGTCCCTGTGTCCCATGATTTCAGTAAGTTGGACTAGAAAAGCAGCTTGGGAGTTTTGAGTTGCTAGCACAGAACCTTGAACATGTGCATGCCTGACACAAAGGGAGCAGCAGTGAGCACAGTGCTCACTGTGCAGGCCTGATAACCTGAGTTCAGAGTCCCAGAAAACACAAAAAGCAGTGTAGTAGCAGCACAAGTGTCTGTAGACCCCACAGCATCTACAAATGGATAGAGGTGGAGGCAGGAGAAACCAGAAGCTTGCAGCCAGCTATTGGTGTTTACAACAGTAAACAGGCCCTGGTCAGGGCAAAAGGCAAGGACCCACACCCAAAGCTGTCCTCTGGCCTACACACATGCCCATACACACACAGACAGAGAAGGGAGCAATGTGGCCTGAGTGTCCTCCCCACCCCCGCCTCAGAAGGGGAGGGAGGTGAAGTAGCCACTTCCTGAGGCCACTTCACCTCTCTACGCTGGAGTTCAGAGTGATGAGTTTGAAGTTCTCTATGGACATGGGTAGCGTGCTAATGGTTAATTATAAGAAAGCTAAACAGAGCACACACAGGCCCTAAACGGAAACAGTCTCCAATCACTGCCCTTTTTATTGGCTTGTCCGTCTTTTAATGCAGTCAGCAATTTTTGGTAATTGGTTTTCATTTCTTTGACACCAAACTCTGCTCAGTTAACACTACTGGATTAAATAACATATATTAAAAACACATTTTACTAATGTAAGAGTGTGACCTGCTCTTCCAGGGGACTTGTCTAGGTCAGGTGGCTAACAACCTCCTGCAGCTTTCGGATCCTGCTCCCACTTGTAGCCAGTCTGGTCATCTGTACATGTGGCACACACACAGATACCTAAGTAAAAATAAAATCTTAAAAGACTATTGATTTGTGTGTGGACGCAAATATTTGTGGCTGACAGTAGAGACCAGAAGGCCGCATGTGCTCTTAGCTGCGGACTCAGTCTCCACTTGAGATTTTTTTACCCCCAAGACAAGATTCCTCTGTGTAGCCCAGGCTGGCCTTAAACTCCTAGAGATCCACCTGCCTCCCAAGTGCTGGGATTAAAGGAGTGTGCCATTGCTGCCACTTGATAAGATTTTAAACATCTAATTATTTATGGGATTTTATTTATAGTTACAAAACTAAAACATTCTCTTCAAGTCTTAAGCACAGGGCTGGAGATGTGGCCCAGTGATAGAATATTCAGCTTGTGTGAAACTCTAGGTTTGATTTCCAGCACCACAAAACAAAATGGTGGATAGGTACAAAGCTAACCTAGGACACTCAGGTTGGCTACACAGATGTAATCTGTAAAGCACACTTGGTTTGCAAAATAAGGCCTTGGCCATTCTTCTCATTTATTTCACTCTGGTGCTCACAAATGGCAGTTTCATGATGCCTGGGATGAGGCGGAGGGGAGGACAGCTGCAGCCCATGTGTCTGGAGAGGCTGCAGCGGCCAGGACAGTCTGGATTTCTGAGGCCATGATCACAGGAAGCCGGCCAGGAGTCACAGGGCACGGTGCCCTGTTTCAAGCAGCATGCTCTCTAGCTGCAGTTTGCTGTTGCTCTCTATGTAAGGCTGGTGCAGCCACATGGACAGGTAGGTCAGGCTGAGGTTGCGGTCTGCAGTGTGGGCCAGCTCTGCGCCAATGGTGTGCTTTAAAAGGAGCTCCTTCTTGTATGCATCAGAGAGCCGGTGGGAGACCTCATCTGCAACAGACCAGACGTGGCTGCATGAGAATGCACTCTTCTAGACTCAAGCCTGCTTTCTCAGGCTCCTGGTCAAAAGCCGGAAGCAGAGCTGCCCAGCAAGCATGAAGCTCTGGGCCCAGACCCCAGCACCCCATAAACAGTGCTGGTGAATGCTTCCCCCCAGCATGTGGACGTGAAGCACAGACTAGAGGCAGGAGGATGGGAAGTACAAGGGCATCCTCAGCTAGCCTGGGCAACATGAAACTCCTCAAAACAGGCCAGAATACCACTGGGATAAAGAAAGAGCAAGGCAGTCCAGCTGGGTGGATAACTGGCAGGAAGCACAAGGACACAGCCTTTGAGTGACTTGTACTGGTTTTGAAGAGTCACTAATGGAGACTGGTAATCACAGCTCGTAGAGGATTGAATCAGGGGGACTGCTACAAGTCTGAGGACTTGCCTCACGGTAAGGTCAGCCTAGGATTCACTGTAAGACTCAGTTTTAAAAAGTAAATAGGGGCTGGAGAGATGGTCTAGCAATTAAGAGCACTGGATGCTCTTCCAGAAGAGCTGGGATCAACTGCCAATGCCCACATCAGGCAGCTCACAAATACAGAAACTCCAGCTCCAGGGGGATCCAACACCTCTGGTCTTCAAGAGCTACTGTATTCATGTATGTGCACATACCCACATAGAGATACAAATAATTAAAAATGAAAGAAATCCTTAAAAAGTAATAAATTGAGCCGGGTGGTGGCGCATGCCTTTAATCCTAACACTCGGGAGGCAGAGGCCAGCCTGGGGTTTGAGGCCAGCCTGGTCTACAGAGTGAGTTCTAGGACAGCCAGGACTACCCAGAGAAATCCTGTCTTGAAAACCCAAAATTAAAACAAAAAACCCAAAATCCAGTAGCTTAATCCCTAAAAAAATTATTGTATTTTATTTTTGTGTTTATGTGTATAGGCCATGGTGTGTGTTTAGGTCAGAGAACAGCTTTCAAACTGCTTCGTTCTACTGTGTGGGTCCTAGGGATAAAAGTCAGGTTGTCAGGGTTGGTGGCAACCTTTACCCAAGGAGCTATTTTGCCAGCCCCATTAGCCCCTCATTTGAGCCCAGATTGCTCTTAAACTCACTTGTGATCCTCCTGCCTCAGCCTCCCAAGTTCTGGGATTACCATCTTACATCATGTGCTGGTTATGTCAGCACAAGCTAGAGTCATTGGAGAGGAGGGAGCCTCAGCTGAGACAGTGCCTCCACAAGGTCTGGCTGTTGGGCTTTTTCTTAAGTAGTGACCAATGTGGGTGGGGCCAACTCTGGGCAGGTGGTCCTGGGTTAAGACAGCAGGCTGAGCAAGCCATGGAGAGCAAGACAGTAAGCAACACTCCTCCAAGGCTCTGGCATCAGCTCCTGCCTCCAGGTTCCTGTCCTGACTTCCACTGATGATAAGCAGTGCTTTGGAAACATAAACCAGACAAATCCTTTCCAACCCAAGTTGATTTTGGTTATGATGTTTTATCATAGCAATAGAAACCCTAACTAAGACAGACCATGCTAAATTTCATTTTTCTCATTGGTCTTCTGTGAGGTTGGCCAAAATGTCAACTGACAGCTAATTTACTTATTTTAATTTATTTAAAAATTTAAAACAGGTTCTCAGTTTATATTTATAGCGCAAGGATGGTCTTAAACTGACAATTTTCCTGCTTTTGCTTCTCAATTACTGGCATCACCACGTCTTCAGTTTATTTAACTTTTACATTTATTTCTTTATATTGTAAAAGACAGATGTCCCGTTTTCTTTCCTAGGGACCAGATCTAACCAGTGCTGATGCCCCTCTTAGAACCACCTCCACAAGAGCTACTTACAGAAGAAGGGTGTAGGCCACGTGTGAAACAGAGGGGGCCGGTTACTCTCTTCCCTGTAATGGTAATTTTCTAGTTCACAAATTCCCTTGGTGGTTGAAGATAGCTTTTCCATTTTCATTTGGATTTTAGTCTGAAAAGATATTAATTTGGAATATGAGAATATTGCTTAGACTTTCTAATCTCAGATTTACTAACTTTAAAAGATTTGAAGGCTATGATATATAGCCTTGGTGTGGCTAAAATTCCAGTTATTTACCCCATTAACTCCATAGACAGCAGATTTCCAGAGGATTGGAGGCAGATGGGTATTGAGGTACTAAGCATGGGGTTTTCACAGCCTCAGAGAAATGAAAGCTTGCTGAGTCCCACCTCAGTAAGGTTTCTAAGCAGCACTCGGGCTTTAGAGCCAAAGACCTGGCAGAATCCCAGCATGAGCTGCTGTCACTGAGCAGGGTAGACAGAAAGGCACTCGGAAGCATGGTTCTGCTCTCTTTTATGGCAGTCTCAGTGAGCCTGGATTTCCTTACTGATATGGTGATGAGTGAAAGGGAGCCTCCTATCCATGCGGGAGGGAGCAGCGAGAACCAGAAACCCACAGATCTCCCTCCTTCGAAACTGCAGCCTCTGCCAGCTCCCAGCGGGAGATACCAGCACCTTCTCCACTGTGACAAAAAAGTGACAGATGAAGGGCAGTGACTCTATCTTTTGTGAAGAACCTGGTTAGAGTTAAACCAAATATCCAACTCCTCCAATAGTTAACTATTATATGTCTGGGGGATAAAAGAAATATACAACAGCAAAATCACAATCCTTCATACTTGATCCTCCCAACCATCCACCCCTTGGTTTTATCTAAAGTGGCACAGGCTAAATTTAGCAAATGTTAATCTTTGAAGGTCTCTCCTTCCTTCTCAGATCATTTTAGGTTCGATATTTCACTTGGCTTAACCCCAGACAGGCTCCATCATTTCCAATTCTGGGAAGACGCTCAAGGTTGAGGTAGGGAGGTGGAGCCAGGCCTGGGATCTGTGCATTCTGAACGCAAGCTATAAACAAAAGTTTGCACCCCACAGCAGCTTCCTGACACCCCCTGATTCTAGAAAAGCTTAGAAGGACTCAGAGGAGGAAAATCTGGAGGCCCTGACCAGAGATCTGCAGCTTGGTCACTAACAGGGACAAAGTCCCGTCCACATGTGCTCTGCTGGGCCAACAGTGTGAGAGCAGCCCACATTTACACATCAGCCCCTGTGGTGTCTCCCACAGTAACACAGATCACACAGAAATGGGGTACAGTTTGGGGAAAGGGTAAAAGTGCCCACCCCCCAAAAAATGATTCTTAAAGCCAAACCTTTTAATGGCTGGGGAGAGAAGAAAAGCAGTGTTCATAACCTCCAACCCCAACCTTTGGGTGTGAACACTGAATAAGAATATATTTCTAAGCCAGTTTAAGACAGATTCCAGTTTACCAGAGCAGAGAACTTCTAACCTGATGGATAACATGTAGAGCTTGCTTTCTCTAATAAGATTTACTTTATTGTTTATGTGTGTGTGCACCTGTGGAGGACAGAACTGGGCACTGGATTCCCTGGAGCTGTAGTCAGAGACAGCTGTGAGCTGCCTAATATGGGTCCTGGGAACCAAACTCCCATCACTGAAAGACCAGTAAGTGCTCTTAACACTTGGGCCGTCTCTCCAGCCCCAGAGCTAACAGGTTTCTAACAGAACTCTCCTTTGCAAAGGATCTAGCCTCCTTGGGAAATAAATGCTGATTCTTGGACAGAGGCAGGAGATAAAGGAAGGCTGAGATATCTTTCACTGGACGTCAGCAAAGAGATGTCAAAAACATCCCCCAAACAGAACTTTACAGGGAAGACAGTATTTCAGCCACATGCAACACCAAAGGGCAACAAACAATCTGAACAAGAGATACAGTTGATTTGAACCACTGAAGTAAGACCTGCTAAGTCCACACGGATATTACGTGGCAGCACCAAGAAGTCACCGTGACAGGGATGGTCTGGCCCACAAAATTTGAATATTCACTCTGTGGACTCTTGAAGTAGTTGGAACTGCCCAGGACAGTGTACCCAACAGTGTCTAGGAGAGCATCAGGACTTGTTAAGTGGAAGAAGAGGCTGAGGAGAAGGAAGGGTCTCCAACAGTTTTGAATGCCTTCACGGTCAAGCAAACCCCAAATAGTTCACTGGGCTTGCGTGACAGTAATGTTAATGCCAGCATCTGTAGGTCTTACCAAGCCATCTAAGGTGGCCTGCAGCTCCTCACACAGCGCTTCAAGGCCCTTATCCGGGTGCAGGTTTGCTTTTTCTTCTTCACTGGAAGCTGGGCTGCTGCTCTCTAATTCAACCTTCTCTTTACCCCTGGTCAAAGCAGAAAATAATGGGAACAAATGACATTCTTTAAACTCACCTCATGCTGGGTGGCAGCATGTCTCTAGTCCCAGAGCTTGAGGAAGAGGATGAGTTCATAGCTTGGCTACATAGCAGCCCCTGCCTCAAGAAAAGAAAAACAAGGCAAGGAAGAAACCTTCCTGCCATTCTGTTATAGTAAGTCCTATAAAAGCCATCACGCAGATAATCATGTTGGATGTACTGCTTAAGTGTTTCCTGAAGGAGGCAAGAGTCTGAATGGTTTTTAAACTGAAGCCTGTGATCCATACAGTTTGGGCAGTAAAAGCTTGATCTTCAGCCTATGGTGCTGTCAGCCAGAGGTGCAACTATTAAGGTCAGGCCTAGTGGGGAGGCTTCCTTCTAGCCATGTGAGGGAAAGGATTCCCTTCACAGGATTTTGGAATCTGAGTATCTTCTTTCTGGTCCTGGCCATCAGGCCAGGTTCTTAGGTGTGAGCATCTGCTATGATGTACACCACCTTGCCACATTGCATTCGGAAACCAGGAGCTAGCCTCTGGTGACATTCCTCAGGAGCCATCCACCATTTTAAAGACATGACTTATCATCACTGGGATCTAGGACTCAGATAAGGCTTTGGTGGTGGCCTGCCTCCCCTCACACACCAAAATGCCTAACTTATTTTTTTATTTTTATTGCATGTATACTGGTGTAACTACCTGCTTGTCTGTGTGATGGTGTCAGATCCCCTGGAACTGGAGTCACAGACAGCTGTGAGCTGCCATGTGGGAGCTGGGAATTGAACCTGGTCCTCTGGAAGAGCAGACAGTGCTCTTAACCACAGAGCCAACTCTCCAGCCCCAACAAATGCCTAACTCTTTACTTGGGTGCTGAGGTTTGAACTCAGACCCTCATGTTTACGTGGTGAGTACCTGACTGAGTTATCTCTCAAGCTCCTCCCTTGTCTTTTTTTTCCCTCTCCTAAAGATAGGATCTCACTATGTAGTCCTAGCTTGCTTAGAATTTGCTGTATAGTCCAGGCCAGTCTCGAGCTCACGGAGATCCAACTGCCTCTGCTCCCAAGTGCTGGGACTGAGGGCAGGAACCATTTCACTTGTTCCTTTGTCTTTTTAATCTTTTAAAATTTATGTATATGAGTATTTGTGTGTCTATGTGGTAGACCCAGCTGGCCTTGAACTCAGACATTTGCCTGCCTCTGCCTCCCAAGCGCTGAGATCAAAGGTATGTGCTGCTGCTACCGCCTCCACCACCTGGTGGAAAGTACTCTAACCACTGGGCTATTTCTCTCGTCTCCCCACCCAACCTTGTCTTTTTTAGAAATAAAATTAAGCTGGAGGTAGCTGCAGAGAGGTGAAGGAAGAAGGATAAGAAGTTGAAGGTCATCTCAACTGCATGGTGAGTCTGAGGTCTGCCTGGGCCTCCAGAAACACTGCCTTAAACAAACAGAGGCTGGAGAGGTGGCTCAGTGAGAAGAGCAGCAAGAGCATCCAGGTTGGATCCTTGTCCTACATGGATGTTCACAACTGTCTGTAACTTCGGTTTCAGGGGATTCGACACCCTTTTCTGGCCTCTTCAGGCAGTGCACCTATGTGATACACATACATACAAGCAGGCAAAACACTCATACACATATAATAAAATTCATAAATCTAAAAAACAACAACAGCAAATACGGTCTGGAGGACAAAGACTTAGCTGTTGAGAACACTGCCTGCTCTTCCAGAAGACCTGGGTTTGTTTCCCAGCACCCACATGGCAGCCCTCAACCATCTGCAATTCTAGCTGCAAGGTAATGTCCTCTTCTGGCCCCTGGATCAGACACGCAAGTGGTACACAGGCAAGCATGCAGGCAACCCCTTCTCCCCACCAAATAAACAAGAAGGGACACAGAATGAACTGGATGCAATGCTGCGCATCTGTGGTTCCTATTCCTTAGGGAAGGCCAGCTGGGTAGTGTGAGATTAGCCTGGCAATACTGTGAGGTCCTGCCACCCAGTGTGCATGAGCCAGGCGGTGCACTCGGGAGACTGAGGCAGGAAGACTACACGGTGTTCAGGGTGATACCCCGTTTACCTACTACCTCACATCCCTGACGGTCAACAGGTCAAGCCTCTCTCTCTCTCTTTTTTGCCTTTCTCTTTTCAATCAACCTCTTTATGACTTTATATATAGATATAAACAAGATGTGGCACCAGTTGTATTTATTTCCTTTTCCATGTATTGATGTGTAGAGGAAAAGGCATTTATAGCACGGTGTGCCTGTGAAGGACAACTCACAGCAGTGTGGTCCTCTCCTTCCACCACGTGGGTTGTGGAAATTGAACGCAGTCATCAGCTTGGTGGCAAGCACCTTTACTCACCGAGCCATCCTATAGCCCAAGGTGTCAAATTCGTAATCCGCCTGTCTCTGCCTTTTCAGCACATCCTGCTTATGTATGCCATAACAGTTACCATACTTTTGCATTTAAAAGGATATATGTACACTTCATATTTGCATGTATCATTTGCCACTGTTTGGCTTAATATTTTCTTTTACTTTATTTACACCAATAAATTCTTACTCTCTTGATTCTTTTCTCAATGGCTAAATGTGACCATACAGAGCACAGAGATTTCACATGTACTTACAGCAAGCTGACTTTCAGGTTGGCAATATTGCTTGCAGTGGTAAAACCTGCATCACTGAGGCTGTCCCATTTCAGGATTAAGTTATGCCAATCAGCCGCATTGTCCTTAATTTTTCTTGCACTGACAGATAAGACAGGTTTTCTGGGTGTCACAACTCCAAGAGTCTTTGCTGATAGGGAGCAAGAGAGACACGACTGTCAAGGAACATATGGTGAAGTGGTCTGATATGCCACATCAACCGGATAAATCAACGTTCCAGAAACTAGGAGGCTGTTCACGGCGCACGGCGCCACAAACACTTGTCTCACACATTCTGTCTACTTTTCTCTTTAGAGATGGGGGGTCTCAAATGTGGTTCTGGCTGGCCTTGAACTCACGGAGATCCTCCCACCCCAGTCCCTCCAGGGCTGGGATTGAAGGCATGTGCCACCGCACCTGGCACCCTTGTCTACTTTAAGAGTGAGAAACAAGCTATGACTTTCTGCTCATACATCAGTGTTTTCCATTATCTCTCCGACAAGGTCACCTAGTCCTGACTGTTTGTACTCCAACTATCTTGTCCCAGGCACCCTGAGCCCTTAAGCAGAGCCTTTGACTCCTGAGAGCTTCTTGCATCACAGCAGAGACCAGGACACTGCAGATGCAGAGGTGATCTTGCCAGGCGGCGGCTGCTCTGCCCAGGGCTTAGGGAGACGTCCAAATGTCTGCCTGCATCTCCTCTTTGACACTTAACCCCCACTTCCAGCCCTGCATCGCCAGGCAAACCTACTAGAAGCTCTTGGAAAGGCCTTCGCACATGCTGTCCTCTCTGCTGGAAGTTCCTTCCTTAAGCTAGTGCTGTCCATCTGAGACTCACCCAGGCCCACTGCCTGAGGACAGTGAGGCCAACAGCAGAGTCTGTCCGTGCTGCCTTAGAGCCCTACACAGTCATCTCACAGCCAAGAGGAATCCAGGACACACAATAGCTGTATGCTCTGGAGGCTACACTTTGAAGACCGTGCTTCCTGGGTATGAGTCCTAGCTCTGCCATTAGGAGACTGTTTTGACATTTTTTTTTTTTTCTGATCTAAAAATTTAAATGCAACCAGAGAATTTATAGCTAGAATTCTAGTTGTATGTAACTGTTAACTAATCTGTAAATTGCAATAAATATATTTGTGTTAGTTACATGCGATAAGGGAACAAAGAAAGCCATTGTCCTGGCTAGTGATGCTGCCAACTTCATACACCTGGGAAGAGCGCCACAGTTTAACACGTGTCTGTGGGGTGTCTGTGTGTAAACTGTGCAGAAGGGCCTAGCCCACTGTGGCGCTGCCACCCTGGGGCAAAAGGTCTTGGGCTGTATAAGAAAACTATCTGAGGGGCTGGGGATGGCTCAGAAGTTAAGAGTACTTCCTGCTCTTTCAGAGGACCCAGCAACCACAGACAGGCTTTCAATTGGCTGTGATTCCAAGTCCAGGGGATACCATGTCCTCTTCCCGCCTCTGTAGACACTGCATACATATGGTGTACATACATAAACGCATGCATGGCACTCATACACATAAAAACATGAAAATCCGAGGAGAAAGCAGGCTAGCTAGCCATGCCTGAGCCTGGGAGGGAGCTGCAAGGCAAGCCGGCAAGCAGCTTTCCTTCCTGAATCCTACCTCTGCTCCTGCCTGGCTTCCTGCCAATTCCCCCAATAATGGCTTGTGACCTGGAAGGATAAGACAAATAAACCCTTTTCTTCCCAAGTTGCTTCTTGGTCACCGTGTTTTACCATAGCAACAGGAGGCAAATCTGAACAATTACTTCCATCAGGAAGTCTTCCTGGACCTCCCCTACCCCCAGCTGTATTAGGAATCACTGCAGTGGACATCTGCCACCTCCCATACGTCGGCTGTCATCACATTCATTCATGAGTCTATTTAACTTCATGGCTACATTCCCGGCGGGATTGAGTTCGACCAAAGTAGGAGTTATGTCTCGTTTCCCCCCATATCTTGAACACACAGCAGATGAGGAATCGAATACGTAACATGGAGGAACTGCTCTTAGCTGTATTACACTGGTCCCTCAGTGGGGGCTCCCTCAGTAAGAACCATATCTGACTCAACAGTTTGCCGGCCCCACTTAGGAACCAAAAGCAAAGCTCCAACTTCTAGACCTTCACAGGCAAATAGGGAAACAGAAGTAATGTGAGTCAAGGGCCAGGAAGGAGACTCAGCAGCGAACCAACTTCTAGACCCTCACAGACAAATAGGGAAATATCAGCAATGTGAGTCAAGGGCCAGGAAGGAGACTCAGCAGCGACTCTAAGCACCCAGTGAGGCTCACGTTACTCAAGGAGACCACCGCCAGACGCAAACGCACTACCCACGTGACAGTAATCGGCTCACAGAGGCAGCCTTTATTACAAAGTGCAAGCTCCACGGCCGGCCTCACTGCGGGAGCTCAGGGGAGGCCTTCCGGAGGGGGCTGGCTGTCAGGCTTGGCTCCAGTGTGCTCAGGGATGCTCTGAGCGTCACACCGCTGACAATTCACGTACATCACCACACTCAGCTGTCACTCACACGGGAATGAGCAGGCTCCCGGAAGCCCCACGAGGCGCAGGCGCGGCCCGCAAGGCACGCCGCAGGCTCCTGACCTCCCCGCGCCGAACCTGCAGCCTCCACAACTAGGGACGCGCACACCGCTCACGCACCTTCCATGCGGGCCACAGGTAGCTCTCCACCGGGGGACGCGGAGCCCCGCCCGCGGCCGAGGGAAGTGACGTCACTTCCGCGCCGTGGGTCGGCCGACACTTGTGGCTCTCAGCTGAGGAGTCGCCGCTGCTCTCTGAGGCCCAGCCCGTTGCCCAGGCAACAGGCTCCCGGCAGCCCCCGCGGCCCGGAGTCTGTCCCGCCTCCTCCGGGTTGGCGGGGCCGAGGCGTCCTGAGGGGCTGCCGCGGGAGGTGAGTCCCGGAGCGTGCTGGCTGGTTCCCGGCGCCTCCGACGTCCCCGACGCTGGCCCCGCGCCGTCCCTCCTCTTGCCAGAGCCGCCCTTCCCCGTCTCAAGCCCCCGGAGTCTCCACAGCCGAGTCGCCGTCCCGCTGGCAGCCGCCGCGCGTCTGTCACAGCCCGCGTCCGCGCAGGGCACCGGGCGTCGCGGCTTCGCACACCGCCCGGGGCCGCCGCGGCGCCCCGGCTCCCCTCGCTCCTCCCCTCCTGCCCCACCCTGCATCCCTCGCGCGGCGGGCTCCAGGCTCCTCGGCCGCGAGACGGCGTTCTGTTCTGTACCCCGACCCTCAGGAGGATCCCTTACATTCGCCTACCAGCGCCAGGCAGCTGGCATGGGCATCCAGTAGGAGTTGAGTAAGTGTTGGCTAAATGGATAAGCGAATGCCTCCCGGGCAGTAAGGACTCTGTTGCCTCGGAGGCCGAATGGGCAGTGAGGGTTAAAGAATGGGGTGACCCTGGGGTCACGCCCGAGGTCAGGTCACTGTGCTTTCCCTTCCTACCCATTTACTGGAGCAAGTGCCAACTTCCTAGCTTCATTTTAATCATCTGTAAAATGGAGGTGATAAGTTTTTAATCTTGGGATGGTGGAAGATTAAATGGGACAGTGCATGTACTGTTAAGAACAGGGTCGGCCAAATGGTCTCAATATGAGGTAGTCCCTGCTGTCACCCACTCGGCTCTGCTGGCTTCGCTGCTTTTTCCTCTAGTCCCTTCTTAAGGCTCTAGCTTTCCATTACTTTCGTTTTCCTTCCTAACCTTACTTCTCTTTCTTGTCCTTTGTGCTTCCTCTCTCCCTGATGTTCGGGGATTTTCTGTTCGATTTGTTGGCAGAATCTGAGGTGTATTATTTTGCCATTAACTGGAATGGTCATTTGCAGCCAAGGTTTTAAAAACCTTTAAAGCAGGAAGCTGTGGGAAAACCAGGTCCTAGGGCATGAAGTTGTTCTAGTCCCCTGTCACCAGAGACTCCTTGTCTTCTAAACTGCAGCGCCTTTTGTACCTTCTCCCACCAGCTGTCATGTTGATAACACCTGTGAAGGTTCTTGTTTGTTTTTGTAATCCGAGTCGCAGCCTGTGTTTGCTCATTTGAGTATTTACTAGTCGTCACCTGTGGCAGTTGCTGTGCCTGGCCCTTACCCTTGACACCCAGTCACTATCCTCAGGGAGGTTGTAGTCTGGCTCTTGAGATTTCAAACCTGGAAATTCTATTTGATTTTCAGGGTGGGCTTGGGAACCACTAGTGGGGAAGAAGAAATGAAGCAGTCCTCTAGCCCGTCATTTCTCCCCTTAAATTCAAACAAACAAAAACATTTTATGTGAATGGCTGTTTTGCCCGCGTGTAATTGTGTGCACCTCGTGTGTGCAGTGCCTGCAGAGGTCAGAAGAGGGCATCAGATCCCCCAGAACTGAAGGTAGCTATCCTTTGGTTTGGGTACTGGGAATTGAACCTTGGTCCTCTGGAAGAGCAGCCCTTGCTACTTGTCTACTCCTAGGCAGCTTTGTTTTGATGTAGCCACATTGTCTTTTTCAGTGGAGGACTGCTGCTCACTGGGCTTGTTTTCAGCTTTTCTTAGGGAAGTTATCCTTCAGTGTTGAGGAGGATCCCAATTCAGAGTAGCCTCTTTATAATTTGAACAAAATGCTTGCTGGAACTTAATTGGGAAAAAGGAAGGGAACAGACAACAGTTGATTGAATTTGGAAGGATGAAGAACAGATTAGGATTTGGTTATACAAATAATAAGAAGGACATTAGGGTCAAGTATGGAGAAGTTTCTGCCAGTATTGACACAGATGGCACTAGGGAGAATCAGAAAGCAGAAATTAGGTGCTGTTTTTTTTTTTTTTTATTAATTGTTGAGATAGAAGCAAGTTCAGAATGTATGTTTGTTTCCCATGAATGTACCCTTTGGAGCTGGTCATGAGAGTTGCAGTGAATCTTTGCTGTGGTCTTGAGGCAATGTGGCATAGTTGTTTGGTTTTTTGTTTTAAATTTGTTTTGGGTACAGGATCGCACTATAAAGCGTAAACTGTCCACGGATTTGCTAAGATGCTCCGCCTCAGCCTCCGGAGCAATTGAATTATATGTGTGCCATACCTGGCTCAGCACAGGGTTTTTGAGAGAGATTAATCCAACAAATATGTGTTGAATGTTGCTTGTACTGTATCAGTTGTGTGTGTTTTTATTTTGGTTTGTTAGAGGTGGGGGTTGGCAGAATCTTGCTCTGTAGACTTTGATTTGTGAACTGTCAGTGTGGACTGAGCTGGTCTTGAGTTTGTGGCGATCATCCTTCCTCTGCTTCCCATGCCCTAGGATTACAAACTCTTTTTGGGGACCAGCATGATGCCTCACCAGTTAAGAGCACTGGCCATGCACACCTGGTGACTTGAGTTCACCCTGTAAAGATGGACAAAGACAGATGACTCCATGGTGTCTTCCTTTGGCTTTCACATGGGAAACATGGCACACATAAACCACTGTATAAATACACTTATACAGGTACATCACGCACATACTAGTAATAAGTAAATTTAAAATTTTTGTTTTTGTTTTTTTCAAAAGAGGGTTTCTCTGTGTAGCCTTGGCTGTCCTGTACTCACTTTGTAGACCACGCTGTCCTCAGGGTTAGACTCACAGAGATCTGCCTGCCTCTGCCTCCTGACTGCTGGGCTTAAAGGCATGCCCCACCACTGCCCTTTCAGTGCTTGGGTTGGGTTGACCTGTGAATATTTGGCTAGCCAGCAGGAATGGAAGCAAGGAGGTGAGAGCATTACATCTGTAAGATAAGTTTTTCCATTTGCAATCTACCACAAAAACTTAACACTTCATCCCCTGGGCATGGTGGTGTAATTCTGGTATTCCCAGCACTCATGAAGCTGAGCAAGAAGATCCCTGGGAGTTCTAGCCCAGCCAAAGCTACTGTGTGAGCTGGTCTCAAAATAAATGAGTATATTACTTAAAAGCAGAAATACAGATAGATTTTAAGAGCCAGCTGTGGTTACACTGAGTGATCGAAGCAGAATATACTTTCAAACTTACACACACGTAACAATCTAATTAAAGAATAAGAAGCCAAGGGGTCCATGCCTGTAATCTCAGCACTTGGAAGAAGTTTGAGGAGCATGGGCTAGAGTGAGTCTGTCTTAGGGAAAAAAACAAAAAAACTTGTACAAGAATAGTAATTGTTACTTTGTACAGAGTTTGGAAAAGGTCCTTGAGCTGTAAATGCTATCAGAGCCTGTGGTGACATGTGACCATTGTACTGCAGGGCGCATAATTTGGGTTCTAGAGTACTCCTTGCTCTAGTTCATTAAGGGAACAGGGAGAAAAACTATGACTTTTTTTAAAAAAAAATTAATTTTATGTGTATATGCAAACTTTTTGTGTATGTCACCCATACATGGGTGCCTATGGAGGCCAGGAGATGGTGTCGGAGCCCCTGGAGTTAGAGCGACAAGAAGTTGTGAGCCACCAAAAGTGGGTACTTGAACTCAGATCCTCTGGAAGAGTAGCAAACACTTTAAAGCACTGATCTGTCTTTAGCTCAGAACTTCTGTTTTTAACTCAACGTTTTCATTTTTAACTGAAATACTCATAGCCAAGGAATCGTTGCTTATATATTTTTACATTTATGTATTTTTATTTATATGCATATGTGTACCTGCTTATCTTTATGTGTACCGTGTACATTCAATGTTGCCAGAGGCCAAAAGAGGGCACCATGTCCCTTGGCACTGGAGTTAACAGTTGTAAGCTGCCATGTGGGTGGGTGCTGAGAATCAAATCCATGTTCTATGGAGAGCAACAGTTGTTCTGAACTGCTGAGCCATCTCTTAAGCCCTGGCATTATTTGTCTTAAAGACTGGGATATAGCATAGTTGTAGACCTCTTTCCTAGCAAGAATGATGGCTTTGTATTTGATCCCAGAGGGAAAAACAGAGGGGGGAGCAGAGGGAGCGGGATTGTATTGAGAATATTCTTTTGCAATAAGACTAAAAGTTAACATTCATTTATTCATTCAACAAATATTTATGGACAGCTGCTCTATGCTGAAAGAAGATTAGCATTCCTTCTCACAGAAGAGGTTATGTTAGCAAGTGAGGAACCAGAGGTTGTGGTCAGGTTGATGAAGGACATGTGGCAGATGGAAAGGGAAGCTTGGATATTCATGAGTGATCTGGCCTAGGGAGGCCTTTCTGTAGTGATGTTCTTGTTGAAGCCCAAAGATGGAAAGCCGTATCTCTGAGTAGAGAACATGGTGAATTATGAAGCCTGAGTGGGGAGAAGGGATCTGTGGTATTAGTGCTTGGAGAATAAGTGGGGGTGAGCAGGAGGGAGGATTTGTGGATTAGTATGCACAGGGTTTCAGCTAGAATAGCACTTGATTCAGAATCTGGCTTTGGTGCTACATGCTTCAGAGCTGTACTCTCCCCTCAGTGTTCAGAAGTTAATTTTGGAAGTATTATTACGTCATCAGGATTACAGGTGTGCAACACCATACTGGTTTATTATCCTAACTGTTTTCAGATGAGTAAATGACAACCTAGAGCCATTAAATAATTCCCCCAGGATCCCACAGCTAATCGTAGAATATCATTGGGATTTCAGCCCCAACCCACTTCCCTTCTGATGTCATTAGCCACCCCAGTGTGCTGCTGCTTTTCTGCAGCAGCAGGTGTCAGCTTAATTAATGGCAGTACGTCCGAACCTGAGGTAGGGTGAATGCAGCCTTCAGACTTGTGTGAAAATTGGGCAGGCTAGGGATGCAAAAACACTAGTCTGGAGTGTTCATTGAGTCTAGTTTTC